TTAGTGTTGTTTTAATTTGCATTTCTCGAATGACTAATGATGTTGAACATTTTCTCATATATTTATTTGCCATTTGTATCTCCTTGTCTGAGAAATGTGTATTCATCTCAGCTGCCCATTTTTGGATTGGGTCTTTGAATTTGGAGGGGCAAGACACTGTTTTAAAAAAAAAGCAAATGTGTTGTAAAAAGAATTTTAAACCAGGTGTGGTGACGCATGCCTGTACTCCCAACACTTGGAGGCTGAGGCAAGAGGATCATTGCAAGTTCGAGACCAGCCTGGGCTGCAAAGTAAGCTCAAGGCCAGCCTGAACTGCATAGTGAGACCTTGTCTCAAAAAAGTCAAAAAATAAGAATAAAAGAATTTTAAGAAAATTATGATTAAGTAAAATGTTAGAATTGTTAACAAGTCAGGACTCCCCCCAGTATCTACATTTGTAAAGAAATGAAATGTAGTGACCTTAAAAGGATTTTAATATTCTCACTACCATTGAGCAACTTGCCAGGTAGTAAGTACTAAAAAATTTTTTTCAACCCTTTTTGCTGGTTATTATCTTTACAACAGAAATGGTGAGCTTCTTTCACTCAACAAAGCAGAACTAACAACTGAACCAACAATTCATAAGGAAGCAATACATTTGATTGGTAAGCATGAAAAAAAAGTACACCTTTATAAACAAAAGGCAAGCTAAAATACACTGATTACAGAGGGGAGAGCAGTGAAAAAGAGGAATAAGGGTACGGGAAGAGCAAGGGTTGTGGAGATCTAAGTAGTGTTATATGCATGTGTGACATGTTAGTCCATTGCCCATCACTGTGACAAAATATCCAACTCCTACAGCATGAAAGAGAAACGTGCTTTGACTGACGCTTTCACTGGCTTCAGTTGGTGGTCTGCTGGCTCCAAGGCAAAAACCACTAGAAGGGCCTGGAGGAGGAAAGCTGCTCACTTCACAGTGATCAGGGAACAGAAACAGAGGGAGAAGTCAGCACAAGAGAATTATGTGGGTATTATATAATCATACAAACATGAAAGTTAGACATGGTGTGAGTATTCAAAGATTGCCCTTGATTTATATAATCAGTGCCTGTGGAGAAAAATGACACATCAATCAAATTTGTACAAATAAAAAAACACCAAATACCCTTCCAAATCAGGCCCCTAGTCTCTGCCAACCAGGCCCTACTTCCTAACAGCACATTCAGTGAGGAGCTCATCAATCTGTTAACCTACTGATGAGCTCAGTACCCCCATGATCCACCCACCTTCTCAAAGTCCCACTACTTTTTTTTTTTTTTTTTTGGTACCAGAAATCAAACTC